CGCAGCGACACGCTCCAGCGGAGCCACATACTCCCACGCTGTCACATACACACGGGGTCACACAGCGTCACACACAGCCACATCCACACAATCCCAGTGTCACCCTTCGCTTGGGGCCATACACTCAGGCTGTCACACACTCACGTGTTGTCCCACTCTGTGTCCCACAGTGTAGCACACTCAAGGGAGCACGCCCCACCCACGCGGTGTCGCACAACCACACATATGTCCCGCCTCATGAGACACAAAGAGCTTCACAGCCACATTGTCAAACCCTCTTACACACAGTTACACTGGCCACATCATTTTCACTAGTGAGGTCACACAGCCTTGCCTTCTCAGACCTGACACGGTCACTGCGGTCACTGGGGTAACCCTCAGAGCCACACACTAGCCCATTCACACATGACACACACGACATTGCACACTGTCATTGTCTAATACACTCCCATGTAGCACAGTTAGCACGTCATACACTCGCACCCTGTCACACAGATAATGCCTAGAGCATCACAGGCTGGAATAGGATGACACGCACAGGGTAGCCGCAAGGTCACACCTGAACCACCTCAGCGCCTACCACACCTGGTGTCATACATAGTTTTCACAGTGTTACACTTGGGGCATGGCACGTGGTCAAGGTTGTTTTTTCTTTTGAGTTACTCAGAGTCATCACACAAGAGATCACACACACACACACACACGTACATACATAGACACACAACTGCACAGTGTCACACATGTCCTCACGCCGTCCTTTCTCACTTCCTCCTTCTCCTGCTTGCAGCAGTTGCGAGGAGGCCCGGGGCGATCTCTGGACTCCGAGAGAGGAAACTGAGGTAGGAGCGACAGGTGGGCGTGGTCCTTGCTGATCCCGCCCCTCCATGGTGTCTAGAGTCAGGAGGTGGGCACTATATGCATAATTTTCCTAGTCCCGCCTACCAGCCGCCGGGTTTACAGCAATATCGGGCTCCGCCTCCCAGTATCATTGGCTGAAGGAGAAGGCGGTGCTGGGTCGAAAGCGAATAAGGTCAGACTCCTGTCAGGAGGCGAGGTCTTTTTGTGCACGGCCCGCCTCCTGGGCCGCCCTGGGTTGTGGCTAGAGAAGGACAGAGCTCCGTGCCCAGCACCCAGTCGGTTCCCACGCTTCCTCCAACTCAGCAGCTCAGAGACTATGACCCCACAGCATGGCTGTCAAAAAAATCGCAATCTTCGGCGCCACCGGCAGGACTGGGCTTACCACCTTGGCTCAGGCGGTGCAAGGAGGTATGAGCTGGGGCGGACGGGGATAGCACCGTGGGTTCGTGCCAATGCAGGTTGTGTACTTCCACTGTGCTAAGATCCAAAAAACCACTGTGCTAAGATCCAAAAAACAAAGTAGGTGTTCCCGAGAACAAATATATGGGAGGCCACAGCCCCCAATTTCATGTAAGAACAAGGCATAGGAATTACTCAGGGAAGTCTGGTGGACAATACATCACGTGACTTCCATGAAATGTTATTGCTGCACTTAAACTAGGTATGCATTTGTCGACCAGCCCTGCCCTCTTTACAGAGATATTAAATCCTCGCAGCCCTCAACTACACTGGTGGCTGCAATTGGCTTGCCACCTCATGGCGACCCCATGTGTTGGAGAGTAGAATCGTCCTGTAAGGTTTTCTTGACTATAATCTTTAAGGAGAGTGCCAGGTCTTTCTCTCACCGTGCCTCTGGGTGGATTCTAACTGCTAGCAGTTTAGTTCTAACCTGTGCGCCACCAACTCTTCTATTTACCCCCCTTGGATGAGAAAGAGGAACTCTGATGGTGCTTAAACTCTCAGCTGCTAACAGAAAGATTTATGATTCTTACTCACCAACCACTCTGAGAGAGAAAGATGTAACAACATTCAGGAAATATTTAGCCTGGGAGACCCTGGGTAGCTATTCTGCCTTCTCCTACTGGACGGCTAGATCAGAATAAACTTGAAAACAGAAGGGTTTGGACAAGAAAATTGAGACCCAGAGAGTGACAAGCTCAAAAAACAAAACAAACGCCACAGCTAGTAAAATGGCAGCCCTGGGACTTGAACTCCATCTGTATCCTTAACTAAGTCCAAAGGCTTGGGCACTGGACCCGGAAACTCTGTAGAAGCTGTGAATCCCTAATGTAAGGGGACTATGAGGCATATGTGAAGATTTGGGGGCATTGGTCCTGGGAAAGTGGACAAATGATGACATTCTGGAGTGCAACAGAAGGATGGGCCCCTGATGACCACCCCCAAACTTCACCAACCTCCCAGGGGAGCTGAGACTTTAAGATATAGGACCCCGCCTATACTGGCCTGAGTAACCCTGAAGATAAAGACTATCTGGGTGCCCCAAAAGGGTGGAGGCCACCAGTCTCTTACAGTCCAGCCCTCCTTTGGAAGAGAACCCACCTTTGCCTCAAAACTCCTCATCATCGAGCTCACCACTCTCTTCCTCCCAAAAATTATCTCCTGAGGATATTGACTTGTAAGGCCTGGAGACACAAATTTGCTGACAAACATTCATGAGGAAGAGAAAGGAGAAGCAGGAAGTTAAGAGGTGCTGAGTCATGCTGGCATTCCCTAGTTTCTACCCACCCCAACCCCCATCCTGAATTCCCTCGGCCCACCCTGCAGGTCACCACTGGTACTGCACCCAAGGGAACTGGGATCGTGAATCTAGGGCGAACTCCGCCTTCTGACTTGGCTCTACACAATTTCTTCAGGGCTCTGAGTCTCCCAGAAAAAAGAGGGGCTGTCCAAGTTGGAGATTCATCTACCTGAGAGTTTATAAAGTCCCGCTGGGTCAGACATTAAACTCCTGTCTGTCACTTCCAGCTGTGTAGCCAAATGCCTTGCCTTGTGAACCTGTATTTCTGTAAGATGGCTGTGAAACTAGTAGCATCTTCCATTAACCACACTTGTGAGGGTTAAATGAAATAATATATGGAAGTGCTCAGAAATGTGTCCTATAGATATCCTTCTCATTTTCATCCTTCCAGTGGGTTTCCAAGGCGGTAAATCACACAAGAGATTGCCCATCTTTCTTAGAGCTGCTAGTGCAGTCGAATCACCAGAGAGGCACTGGCCTTTGGATTATCTATTCCAAAGTAAACATGATTATCTATTCCTAAGTAAACGCTCTTCAGTTGAGTGGACATAGCCCAGACTCAATGTGTAAAAATGTTACCTTCTTTTTTCTATCAAGTCCGTGATCCTGGCCTAGTTACACAGAATTGCCTCAGTCTCTCCATCCTCAAAGTTGTTGTATGACCTCAAGTTGCAACAAATCTATACCTGATCCTCCAGCGGGTTTTCAGAGGCAGTAAACCACATGGGAGTTGATAGCCCATCCTTCTCCCACGGAGCAAGTGGTGGATTTTTAATTGTGCCTGCAGGAAAACACTGCATGGTTCAAAATTGGGACAGGTGTACACCAGGGATGTGTCCTATCTCTATACCTTTTCAACCTGTATGCAGAACAGATTATCTGAGAGGCTGGGCTCTATAAGGAGAAGTGAGGCGTCAGGATTGGTGGAAGATCTATTAACAATCTGCGTTATGCTGATGACACAACCCTGCTTGCTGAAACTGAGGAGGGCCTGAAATGCTTGCTGCAGAGGGTCAAGGACTGCGGCCTTCAATATGGATTGAGGCTCAATGTAAAGAAGACAAAGATTCTTACCACTGGACCAATTGGCAGCATCAGGATGGATGGTGAAGAGATTGAGATTGTTACCAACTTTAGTCTGCTTGGCTCCACGGTCAACACTCTTGGCACCAGTATCCAGGAAGTCAGAAAACTTATTGAGATGGGAAAGTCTGCTGTTAAAGACCTCTCCAGGGTACTGACAAGCAATGGTGTCACTCTGGAGATTAAGGTGCGTCTGATACAGGCTGTTGTCTTTGCAATCACTTGTTATGCATCAAAGAGCTGGACAATGACTAGGGAGGATAGAAGGAGAATTGATGCCTTTGAGCTGTGGTGCTGAAGAGTATTGAATGTACCATGGACTGCCAAGAAAACAAACAGATTCATCCTGGAAAGGGTTAAACCGGGCTGCTGCTCCTTGGAGGCAAGGATTCTGGGGCTTCGTCTGACATACTTTGAACATGTAAGGAGGGACAGGTCCTTGGAGAGGGACATCATGCTTGGGAGGGTGGAGGGACGGCAGAAGAGGAGAAGACCTTCTATGAGGTGGATTGATTCAGTGACTGGCGTAATCAGGATGGGTGTGGCAGAGGCAGTGCGATTGTCACAGGATAGAGCAGGGTTTAGGGCTGTTGTACATAGGGTCGCTATGAGTCGCAGGCAACTTGACGGCACATAACAACAACATAGGTTGACAGCATAGCTCCTTACCACTAGGCCACCAGAGCTCCTTATGTAGGAATAACAATAATAGGTTATGACAGTCTGATGTTTTTCCAACCAGGTTCAATTACTTCTTAAATTCATTAGACATAGTCTAAGTAACAACTGGTCATAAGTTGGGTTGTTTGTTTGTTTTGAGATTTGAGGGAAAGTTTAGAAAGCAGATTGGGGTTTTTTCACACATTTTGTTTCATAACATTAATGACAATACCCATGTATCATAACACTTTTCCTACTTCCTTCCTGAAATTTCTCAGTTCCAGTTCTGACTTTTTATCTACTGTTGATTTTATTTCTTGTATGCCTCTCTATGCCTTCCTTTTCATTAGTGATATTGTGCTGATCATCCTTTATTGTATATAGCCTTTTCCTTCATTAGAAATGGGGGTTTTTAATATCTATTTAACTGAGCTTTTAATGAAAGTTTATAAAGAACTTGGATTTCCACTCATTCTTTCTTCCACATTTTCCTCCCTCCCCCCTCCCCCCAGTTCACTTCTTTGTTTGGAAAAAAATATCTTTTATTGTTATACAATATCCCCCCCCCACCCCCCACCCCAGACCACTTTACTATTCAACTCTTTTTCTGGACTCTTGTCATGCCAATAATACCTAGTCATATATTCTAGTTCTCTCCCCATCTGTTTCAATGCCGTGTACATTATTTATCCACTCTTTTCTTCATTTCTCCCCAACCCCCATATCAGTCCTGTTTTATAACAGTAGTAAGTAAGTATTATGCAGTATTTGTCTTTTTGTGACTGAGATATTTTAGTCAGCATAGTGTCCTCCATGGTCACCCATTTTGTGTAATAGTTCATAAGTTCTTTGTTTTTCGGTGCTGCATAATATCCCATTGTGTGAATATACCACAGCTTCTCTATCCATTTTTTTGTTGATGGGCACTTGGGTTATTTCCATTTCTTTACTAATGTGAACAAAGCAGCAATAAACATGAGTGTGCATGTATCTGCTTGGGTGGCAGTTCTGGTTTCTTTAGGATATATTGCCAGTGGTGCAATTGCTGGGTCAAATGATATTTCTTTTTCCAACTTTTTGAGAAAGCGCCATACTGCTTTCTATAGTGGTTGCACCATTTTACACTCCCACCAACAGTGAATAAGGGTTCCAGTTTCTCCACAAACTTGCCAGCATTTGTTGTTTGCTGCTCTGTTGAATTTTGCTATTCTTACTAGGGTGAGATGATATTTCATATTTGTTTTCAATTTTTTAAATTTTATTTATTTTACTTATTTATCTATTTTTTCATTTTTCGTATGTGTACGGTCAAATCGGATCTGACTAGTACAGGAGGATATTGCCCCTCCTTCACCAGCAGAGCATCTGGTGAATTCAAACTGCATACCCCTGGGATTGCTTGTTTCTTTGTTTTTAAATAGTTCAGAATTTAGTGGGCATGTATTATTTTGTAATTTAGTATGTTGTTGTTTGTTGTTATGTGCCGTCAAGTCACCTGAGATTCATAATGATCCTATTTACAACAGCTCGGAACCCTGCTCTATCCTGAGCCAACACTACTGTTTCTGACACACCTATGCCCATTAGCCCAGTCACTGAGTCAATCCATCTCATCAAGGGTCTTCCTCTCTGGCGCTTTCCCCCCACCCTCCCAAGCATAATGTCTCTCTCCAAGACTGGTCTCGCCTTGCAACATGCCCAAAGCATGTCAGACGAAGCTTTAGAATCTTTGCCTCCAAGGAGCAGCCTGGTCTCACCCTCTCAAAGACGAACCTGTTTGTTCTCTTAGCAGTCCATATTCAATGCTCTTCTCCAGCACCACAGTTCAAAGGCATTAATTCTCCTTCTATCATCCCTAGTCTTTGTCCAGCTTTCTGATGCTTAGCACGTAATTCTGAAAACCATGGCCTGGATTAGGGACATCTTAGTCTCCAGACTGACATATGAAGTTGAAAAGACTCAGTCACTTTTATCTTTTTCTTCTTAATTAATTGCTGCACATTTTCTTCCCCCTCTAGCCCACATCGCAATGCACCCTTAGTTCCAGATTGTTCTCATACATATAATGCATAATCATATATTCCTTTCAGACACTTCTGTTTATTCTAATGTAGTATTAATTATCTATCCATTCTTTTGCCATTGTCTCCCCAAACCCCTCATGTCTGTCCTATAACAGCAGTGTTATGAAGTATTTGTCCTTCATATTATCTATATATATAAAAAAAGACAACCTTCAGAATGGAGAAGAAATTGTAAAATCATATATGTATCTAGGGTCAGGGAAGATGTTTGCATGAGGTTCCTCAGCTAGTAATTAGCAAACCCAGGATCTGAACCCAGGTCTGTGGGACCTTAAAAGGTTTGCTTTCCTATTTATAAAGATTCAAGGAGACGGTGCTAAGTATGGTGTTCCCTAACCTGACCTGTCCTTGGTTTACTCCACATAAGCATAATGAAGGCTGTAGCAGGAAACCCTAGGGTTGGGGGCCAGGAAAGTGGATGAGAGCATTCCAGTAAGAAGCAACAGTATGTGCAGAGGCCAGGAGACAAGAAACTGGTGTCTGAGGAACTGAATTAGGTTTGATTCCTGCAGGGTCCACAGGGAATGGTAGTTCCCTCAGAGGCTGGAGAAGAGGGGTCTTCAACACTGGAATGAAGAGCATGGGCTTAATCACCAGGTATTGGAGATCCTGGAAGGACTCGGAGCATGGAGACATTTTGAAATGACCATGGAAAACTCAGTCTGGCTGCTGTGTGGAAGATGGATTGGAGTGGTTGATGTTGGGGCCTGCAAGTGCTGGAGGCAGTCAGCATGCCGGGCAAGAGAGAGGCTGAAGACAGAGTCATCAAATGATTAAAAGGCAGTGTAGTCCCAAGAGAGCTGTACTGAACACAAAGGCTGTGCCTCCCTGGCAGTTCAAAACCACCAGCAGCTCTGACAGAGTAAGATGGGCAATCTTCTGCTGTATGACCTACAGCATCTGCAAACCCACTATCTGGGTGATTTCTGACTCAATGGCAGTAAGGTTTTTTGAGGAGAGCAAACAAATACCTGTCCAGTGCTTATTCTTGTGCCATGTACAACCTAAACTTTTTGTTCCCTAGTTATATTTTTGTTTTTTTACATTTCTTAGAGTCACTCCATTGAGATCGAATTCACATACTATGTTCACTACTTCTCTTGGGTCTCAGTGTCAGCTGGGTGGATGCAGCCTTGTGAACCTAGAAGAGATGCAGGTGGGGGACACGGGGATGTTTGTGGCTTTCTTTCTGCTTCAAGTGGGTGGCCGCAGAGCGGAACTGCTAGATGAATTGGGGGTCTCTGGCTCAGAGTTTGCCAGCGTTTGGGCATACGGGAATGGTAAAATACTATAGGGCCCTAGGGCGTGTGGCCCTAAGGCTTCTTTTGAATTGTTGTTGGTCAAACATTCTTCTAGGTCTTATAGCCCTGGTGTGTCCACTTGCCGTACAGAGGTAACGTGTGGTTGCTGTGAAGCTGAACACTGTGACACTAATGTGTCAAATGTGATAACGGTTATCCACGGGGCACAGTGTTTGGTGGCGCTCCCCGGTTGAAAAAAGCTTGCAAGCAGGAGTGGCATCCACTTCCATAAATAGCTCGCCTCGGGAAACCCTATGAACCTGGAGAAAGGATGAAAGCCACCCACGCAAGTGTCGAGGACTTTCGTTCTTAGGGTCGCTATGAGTTGCCAACAACTTGATGGCACTTAACAACAACAACAAGTTCACTACAGGAGTCATAAACTAGCATAGTGCCAAATGTTAACTCATTTGTTGCTGGATAATAGGGAAGCTGAGGGGACACTCTAAGGATACTGGGAGACTATCTACCACCCCCATGAAGATATGGCCATATTCTAACAACCGAATGAGGATTTGCTGTCCATATGGCAGCACAATGTTTCAAGACCACCGTCCTGAACCATGGGACCTAGGAAATGGACTGAGGGTTGGTAACATCACCTTGGAACCCAAGCCCACTGACTTACTTCTTTGATCCTTTTTACCCACAGGTTATGAAGTGACAGTGCTGGTGCGAGACCCCTCCAGGCTGCCCTCCGAGGGACCCAAGCCGGACCACGTGGTCGTGGGCGACGTCCGGAAGGCGGAGGATGTGGACAAGACCGTGGTGGGGCAGGACGCCGTCATCGTGCTGCTGGGCACCGGCAACGACCTCAGTACTGAGCCCCCCCTCTGCCCGCGGCCTCCTCCTGCGCCCAGGCCCCCCGCGCCACCCCCGCCCCCAGCCCCGCCCCTACCACCCCATCCACCTCCACCACCCGCGAGTGACAGCTACTCTCTGTCCTCTCTAAGGTCCCACCACAGTGATGTCCGAGGGCGCCCAGAACATTGTGGCGGCCATGAAGGCTCACGGCGTGGACAAGGTCGTGGCCTGCACCTCGGGTGGGTGGCGGGATCAGGGGTTTTGCTAAGATGGGGGAGGGGCGGGTACTGGGCAGGCCCAGTTTGGAGCCCAGGGACCTTGAAAGGCCATGCGAAGCCTTTCCAAATTACCATAAGTTTACTGAACACCGGCTGTGTGCCTCAACTTTGCTGGGGACCTAGTGGTGACCAAGACAGGCAGTGGCCTGCACCCATAGGCCTCACAGATGGGAGAGAGGTGATATCAAACCCATCAGGAGACAGTGATAGCCCAGAGTGAGCAGGAAGGGTTGGGCTCAGGTAGAGGAGAAGACCTGGGATGGGAGAGGGGTCAGGCTGAGGGATGAGACCATTTCCAGGGAAGGTGAAGGATTCAAGGCTGGGAAGGAGAAGAGACACAGATGGAGACAGAGACTAGGTGGAAAACTCAATTGCCTCTGGGTGTCCAAAGGCCTATGGGAAATCTCTCCTGTAGTGTGTCTAGAAGTAAGGTTTCAAGAGGAAATGATAGAGCTTTGAACAGAACCACCAGGTGTCTACCCTCACAGAGCTGCTCATTTTTTAGGAAGTGGACTTCAAGAGTTGCCCAAGGAAGGCTACAGGTTGCCACCCTGGAGCTATTATTACCAATAATCAGCATTTACTGAGCACCTGCTAGTGGCCTAGTGGTTAAGGAGTTGTGCTGCCAACAGAAAGACAGGTAGTTCTAACTCACCTGTTACTCAGAGGGAGAAAAATGGCAATCTCCTCCTGTGTGATTTACATCCTCAAAAACACCACTGGATATTCAGCAATTAATCGGTTCTGACTCAACAGCAATGAGATTTTTGAGTGCTGGTGAATGGAACTCCCTGAGGTGGCTGCATAAAAAGTACTTAGAATCTTGCCTGAACAAAAACCCAGCCGCTTGTCACCAGGGCTCCTTAGACCCACACAGTCAGCTCACTGTCTTCAAGTCAGTTCTGATTCACAGCGAAACTCCACTGACTTCCCAGCTATCCTCCACAGAACTGCTGGTGAATTTCAACAGGCAGAGATGCAAGGCTTTTGCATTAACAGCACAATTTACTACAGTCTAGACCATCCCTTGGACTCCAACTCAAACTCATTGCTATCAAGTCAGAGCCACCTGAGCAAACCTTAGTGGATTTCCAAGACAAAATCACATGGATGTGCTGGCAGAATAGTGGTAAAGAATTGTGCTGCCAACGCAAAGTTATGCAGTTTGAATCCACTAACTGCCCCACAGGAGAAAGATGTGCAGTCACCTCCCATTTGATTTGTTCGTGTTATATAGAGTCAAGTAGGAAGCATAGCTGACTCTCCAGTGAGTTTTCCAGAAGCTATAAATCAAATGGGAGATGATTGCCCATCTTTCTCCTTTGGAGCCACTGGGATTCGAACTACCAGAGAGGAATGGCCTCTGGGTTACAAGCACAAAACTCTACACCTCTACACCAGAGCTCCCTGAGAAACCTACAATAATCCCAAAAAGAGCATTGCTGTTGAGTTTACTCCACCTCAATCAAGAATAGAGCCAGCCTCTAGTTTCCAAGGTTTTACATTTTTACAGATGCAGTCTGCCCCCTCTTGTTCCCATTGAGCAGCTGGTAGGCTAGAACTCTTAACTTTCTGTTAACAGCCGAGCCCCTTCATTACTGTGCCAACAGAGCTCCTCTCATCTTATGCGGGGGGGAAAAACAATGCTAAACCAAATTCACTGCCAATGATTCCAACTATAGTGATCCTACAGGACAGAGTAGAACCGTAGTGTTTCCACGGCTATAACAGGAGCAGATTGCCTCATCTTTCTCCCTAAGAGTAAGTGCCTGCATGTGTCTACCTTTTGGTTAGCAGCCCAATGCCTAACCCACTGTACCACCAGGGTCCCTTTCATTCTAGAGCCAGAACTTAATAAATACTAGTCAATATTTCCTCCCTTATACAGCTAAAGGAGCCTGGTAGCATATTTGTTATGTGTTATATCTTGGACTGCCAACCAAAAAGTCAGCCGTTCAAATCCACCAGCTGCTCTGAGAGGGAAAGCCTAATTTAAAGCCTCAGAAACCTGCTGGAGGATCAGCATGAGTCAGAGTGGACTCAATGGTGGTGGTTGTACAGCAGTAGGGACTAAAGAGCTGGAGGGCAATGACTTCTGCCCGTTCACACAGCCTGGCTGGCACAGCTCGTCTATAGTGTGTGTTTTTTTTCTTTTTCTTTTTTTTTTCACATCAGACTGGTAATGTGCCCATGTTGTAAGAGGTTTAAAGGACAGCACATGTCATATAGAAGCATCATCGCCCAATTATAATGCTTATGAACCGGAAAAGGATCAACATCGATGTTTATTCACACAAGTTGTCTTGCTAAAAAGGGAGGTGCCATGAGAGAGGGCTGCATGGTGACCAAGACACAGCACAAAGACTGGAGGCCAGCCGATAGAGGAGGATGGAAGCTAAGAGATTTGTGGCTCCTCTCCCCAGCAGCTTTGAAATGCTAGAAGTAATACTAAACCTGCTATTCAGAATATTCTATTCTTAATTGTTCATGTTTTCTTCCATGTCCTTAAGACCAATCTGAGAGGTGAAAACAAATTTTTTTCTATGATCCTACCTACTGTGATCATAACTTCACTGGGGCACACTGTTTCTGCTTTCTCCTGAGAAGCAGCTAGTAGATTTCAACTGCTCACCTATTAGTTGTAGCCCATTATGTTCTCCACTACCCCACTAGAACTTGCTTCTTCTGTGATGAAAACTTATTCTTGAAGGAAGATTTACAGCCTAGTAAACCCTATGTGTCACTTGTACTCCGTCCAACAAGGCTTATATTTAAGTCAAAATTGGAGCTCCAGTGGCTTAGTGCACTTCACGTCGGTCTTCTAACCAAAAGATCAGAAGTTCAAACCTACTAGCTATTCTATAGGGGGAGGAAATGATCAGTTTCCTCCCATAAAGATTTATTGCCTTGGAAACCAACAGAGGTGTGAGTGGTTCTCTCACTATGAGTTGGGATTAACTCAAGGGCAGTGCTTTTCATTTTTTTTCTGGTTTAGTTTTGTTTTGTTTTAATGAGTGAATTGACTCCATGACAATGAATTTGTTTTATTGGGTTATTGTTTGTTTTGGGTTTTTTGGAAGCAAAACAAAAGGGGTTTTTTTTTTCCACCAGAAGCACTGAGAAAATGAACACTAATTCTCTTCTATCCTGTAATTTTTGGAGATTAATATTCTCATCATATTCAAATTTCAAGGAAAAGGATTAGAAAGATCTTTGTTACCTAAGGAGCTTGGATTTTATCCCAAGGGCCTGGAAGGTCTCGGGAGAGTGGTTTTTAAAGGAGGTTCCTGATAGGATTAAAAGGAAATCCAGGGAAAGATACAGACTGTATCTACTATTATGATCACAATTTGATAACCACGTGGAACTAAGAAGTAGACACGTAAGACTTGAGGCTCTTGCTGAACGACATTGGGTGCCTATTCAGATGCTGAGCTTCAGTTTCCACATCAGTAGAGAATCCTACTCCCTCATAGGCTTGTTGTCATGAATCAGTGAGACGATCATGCTAGCTCTATAGTGTTTTATTGCCTGCTTTTTCAGAAGTAAATCACTGGGTCTTTTCCCTGAGGACCTGAGTGCACCAAAACTTTCAGTTAGCAGTTAGTGTCTTAATTGGAGCTCTGGTAGCTTATCGATAAGGAGTTTCACTGCCAGCCCAAAGGCACACAGTTCCAATCCTCCAGCTATTCCATTGAAGAAATATGGACAGTTGCCTCCTGGGTGATCTACAGACTAGTTAGAATAACAGCTTTGAATTAGTTCTGACTTGATGGCCCATAACAAACGGTTCCATTCTTTTTTTTTTTTTTCTCTCCTGCCCAAACATGTACCCTAGAATCAGATCCAACTAGTACAGGAGGAGATTGCCCCTCCTTTTCCAGCAGAATATCTAGTGGATTCGAACAGCGTGCCTTTGGCATTACAGTGCAGCTTCTTGCCACTAGGCCACCAGAGCTCCCTAAATAGTTCCATTCTACACAATAATTCATAGCAACGATTGTGAGGATGGCAAAACACTGGTCAGGGTTATTTATTGTATGTTGTTTCCCTGTAAGTTGGAATTGCCTCAGCGGCAATAATAGTTCTACTCTGACACATCTGGAGTTGCCATGTTTCAGAGTCAACTTGGTGGCAACGAACTAAGGTTTTTATTGTTGTTTTAGTAGAAATAAATGTTAGGGCAAAACCAGGCAGAGTAAAGGGGACTTAGATAAGCCAGAGAGTGTAGTTGTAGATAGAATTCTTAGGAAAGGCCTTATTGAAAGTTGACTTTTAGGCAAAGTTTTGAAGGAGGAGAGGGAGAGAGCAGACACTGTGATTGGAGGAATTACCATTGCAAAATGGTGAGGTGGGAGTTGGTGAAGGGATGGCAGAGGAGTGAAGGGGTCTTGCTTTTCTCTGGAGTTGGGATGGAGTCTAAGATCATGTTCTGACTCAGGTGTTCACAGGGTCCCTCTGGCTGCATCTAGGGCCAGGGAGACCTGGCTCAAGCCTGGGTGGGACCAGGTGGGATGAGAAGCCATATCTGGAATTAATGTGCTTTTGTTATAGCTCACATATGGGGTAAAAGAGATAAAGAAGATCCCCACAAGACTCATTTTTGTCCAGAACCTTCAGAAGGCGATGGGGAGCCATGCAGGGTATTGTCCTGGCCCGTTAGAAAAGGGCAGCAGGCAAGTCAGGTCAGGAGGTTGTGGGCCCTGAGCTTTAGTTAACCCTACCCTGTGACCTGCCCCAGCCTTCCTGCTGTGGGACCCCACAAAGGTGCCCCCGAGACTGCAGGACGTGACCAATGACCACATTCGGATGCACAAGATACTACAGGAGTCAGGCTTGAAGTATGTTGCTGTGATGCCACCCCACATAGGTGAGTGGAACAGGGACCGAAAGACACTATCACCACCCACCTGCCTTCCTGCTCTCTCGGGAGGTCCAAAAGGGCTTCCCTGGCCTCCCTAAAATTGCAAACTTTCCCTCAACACTTCTATCCACTTTCCCTACTTTCTAACATGCTATTCCATTGTCTCTGCTTAACAAACTACCCCAAATTTAGAGATGGGAGACAACGGCCATTAATATAATTCACACTGTCAATACTGGAGTCACCATGTGTTCTTGAGATCTCCCTTGAGGTTACAGTCAGCGTTCTCTTGAAGCCTTCCTCATTGGCTTACATAATGGCTGCTTTTCCTCACACAATGGCTGCCGGATTCCAAGGGCAAGAATTCACAGGAGACTGCCCATATTTCTTCCTTAGTGGGGTTGGTGGATTTGAACTTTTTGCCAACAGTCTGGCATGTTATGACCTGCACAACACCAGGGCCCTTGAAAGAGAAATACTTGTGTGTAAATTCCAGAACCATTATCACACTTAAGAGAATTGACATTTCCTCTGCCATATTGTTTAGTATCTACTCTATAGTCAGATTTTCCTCAATTTAAAAAAAATACTTTCTCAACCCCTCTCTCCCCAAATCAGCATCCACTTAGTTGCCATGTCCCCTTTAATCTGGAATAATCCCCTCTGCTTTTTGTTTGCTTCTCATGACATTGACCAGGTCAGGTGAATTTTTAAAAATGTCTTTCCTTTTAGATTTTTTTTTCTTGTTTTCTCCAATTAGACTCAGATTAAACATGTACAGCAGGACTAGCCTATGGGTGAGGTTGTAAATCTCTTATTGCAAATGTTTCAAGGGTGCTTGTCCTTGGGTGATGCTCAGTTTGAGGTGGTCACTGTCAAATCTTCCTTGTATAAAAGGGACATTTTCCCATTGTTGTTGTTATGTGCCGTCGAGTCGCTTGCGACTCATAGCAACTCTGTGTACAACAGCCCTAAACTCTGCTGTCCTGTGCCAGTTGCACTGTCTCCGATACACCCATCCCAATTACCCCAGTCACTGAATCAATCCACCTCATAGAGGGCCTTCCTCTCCTGCACTGTCCCCCCACCCTACCAAGCATGATGTTCCTCTCCGAGGACCGGTCCCTCTTTACAACATGTCCAAAGTATGTTAGACAAAGCCTCAGAATCCTTGCCTCCAAGGAGCTGCCTGGTTTAACCCTTTCCAGGATGAATCTGTTTGTTTTCCTAGCAGTCCATGGTATTCTCAGTACTCTTCTCTAGCACCATAGCTCAAAGGCATCAGTTCTCCTTCTATCCTCCTTGGTCATTGTCCAACTCTCTGATGCATAACAAGTGATTGCAAAGACCATGGCCTGTATCAAATGCACCTTAGTCTTCAGAGAGACACTATTACTCTTCAGAACCTTGGAAAGGTCTCTAACAGCATTAGTTATTTTTCTTTATCATTGTGTAGCCAATATATGCCCTATCAACAGTTAGCCATGGCTATTCCACTATATCCACTTAAAAAACCTATTGGTACTTATGAAGAGAGCAAGGGTGATGTGGGAATGCCTGAATCTGATCTCTACAACTCCACAAGGGAAACTTACCCCCAACATCAACAACCACAACATAAAACAATTCCCAAGAGGTCAAACATGTTCCCCATGCTCCCATAACTCTTTCTGCTAATTTGAATGGCTGTATTGGATCTGAAATGCATTGTGATAGCTACACAACCTCACAGAATAATACTTGCACTTATGGGGACTATTAGGGAAACTAGCAGGTTATAACTCAGGTTAGCAACAGAATCCAGGAAAGCTTTGAAGGATGCTCACAGGCCCTTCAGCCTTGTGGTTGTAGGCTAGACTTACAAAGTTCTCTTAGTCTTGCTAACCACAGCATCTCCTCGTCAATCCTCCAGCAAGCCTGGGCAAAAGGCTCCATGGAGCTCTGGCTCCTTGGGGCAGCAATCCCAGTTTGGCTTTATCTCACTTTGGAGCTCTGGCTCTCCTGTGGCTACTGCTGCTCTCCTGCATGCCTTGATGTGAGATGGCACAGGAACCTCGGATCCCATAGAATATATGGAGCATTCTCCGCCTCCTCTTCCGTGCTATTAATGAGATTCAAATTCCTGCCTCTAAACCTGCTCAAGTCATACCCCAAAAAAATGGGGAAATTAGACAGTGGCTCTGTGGACAAACCAACACATCCTACCTGCATGCTCCCACCCAACCATGTGGCAAAACTAAGGGCAATGTCCCAGGAAAGCTACTCTAAACAATACATCCCACTACACCACAGTACTCCAGGGCTCTCAAAATGTCAGCTCCTGTCACCTGAAGGATATGTTTGCTCCTTTACTGCCTGTAACACACAGATCAAAACCTGGGATATGTCACTCAAGCCTCCCAGATAGGTCCAGAAGAAGGAAACATCATTGTGGTTAGAACAGATCAGGGTTTTGTTTTTTGTTTGTTTGTTTGTTTTTCAGATCAGGGTTCTAATTTAACCTTCACCACTATTTACCTTTACCATTCCAAGATTCCATTTGTCCAACTACAACATAGAATTGAAGTTTCTCACCCATCCTGTTTTACTTCTCCATCTAGCATCTATCTAATTTCTTTAGCTTGTTAGTTGGCTTATTTATCTAATGTTGCTCCAGCAGAAATATTGCAAGTGGATAACTTTAACAAATAAATTTATTCATAAACTATTTAAAAGATTGGAAGTCTGACACCAGCCCCAAAGCTTTTTTTCTCTGTTGGCTTACAGTTTAGGAGGAAAGTCTTTTTTTCCTTTCAATATTCCTTGAAGATCTACATGTGTCTTGGCATTAATCTTCCCCTGAATATAGGAGGTTCTTTTTATTTTAAAATTATTAGTATTAATTTCAATGAACATCTACAGAGATTTTGGAATTCCATTCATTCATTCATTGTTGCACTTTTCTCACCCCCACCCCCACCCCACTCCTCTCCTTGAAAAGCAAAAGACAAACTCCTTCATTTGTACATAACCCCCTCCCCCACCCCACAGATCCCCACCCGCACCCCAAGTATACTCCACTCTGCAATCCTCATTCTGGACTCTTATGATAATCATAATGCTCTAAAATATATTCATTTTAAACTATTCTCTCCCTCATCGGCTTTAATGTGAATATAGGAGGTTCTTAGTGCAGGAACCTGGGTCCAAAGGATACATTCCACTTCTTGCTGTACTTTCTTGGTAGCACTACTACCACCCTCTCTTGTTATTCATTTCTCTCTCCTTTTGCCTCTTGTAGGATAAAAGATGCTGCAGAGTACCCCCTAGGGAAAATCTCCTTACACCAGATTAGGGCTGTATTATATACTACACTTAATCCTTTCCCAACTGACACATTATTCCATCAGATCACATTATGGAGGAGATCTTTATATAACTGTCAAATCTTTGGCAATCATGGCCCAGCTAAGGTGACACATTTTTTGAGTGTTACACAGTTCAGTCAATGACAGTTGCCTTTCCCTAATGAATGTCTGCTTCTGGAGGTCAAAGATTGTTTTCTGTCTTGTCCCTGACTGTGTACCCAGTATAGGTACATAGTAAATAATAAATAAGGATCTGTCCAGTTAATGAAGTAAAAACCTTTGTTAGCACCCGCCATATGGGCAAGTTCCATATATTATGGGATGTTATATGAACCAGACTGGACACACAGTTGATATCCTGGGAGGGTCATTCTGGGAAGTGGAAATGTTGATTTGCTTCACCTGCCTCCTTTATCTTTGCTTCACAGGGGACCAGCCACTGACTGGGGCTTACACAGTCACTCTGGATGGAAGAGGGCCCTCTAGGGTCATCTCCAAACATGACCTGGGTCACTTCATGCTGCACTGTCTCACCACTGACCAGTACAATGGGCACAACACCTACCCTTCCCACCAGTATGACTAGGGTTGCCTCCATTCAGGAAATGAGAAACAAAGGAAAGACAGCCCCAGAGTCAGGGAACAATAAATATTGATCCACGAGCTTCATATTATTTTCAAAAACCTGGCTCTGTGACTCTTCCTCTCTCTTGCTGCAGCTGGGTAATTTGGAATGTCTCTCTGACTCTGTGTTGCATTATCTGGTTATCCATTCATTTAATCAGCAAGTATATTGAGTCTCTGTTTTGTGTCTGGAGCCCTGGGTGATTCAAACAATAAAGTGGTCAGCTGACAACTGAAAGGTTAGGAATTCAAGTACACCCAGAGGTATCTCAGAAGAAGCCTGATGATCTATTTCTAAAAAAGCAACCCTTGGAAACCCTGTGAAGCACAGGTCTCTTCTGATGCACGTGAGTAAAAAGCATGAGGGCATCACATGAGGATCACCAAATCTGACTTCTACTAATTCCACAAGGGGGAAGTGTCCCCGACAACAGGATCCACAACACAAAACCAATTCTTAGGTAAAAAATGTCACCTATGTTTCCTTGTCCATTTTCTACAAATTCCAACACTAATCCTACTGTTCTACTGGGTCCAAAATATGGTGCAATCGCTACACAGACCCTATAAGACCATACTCATGATTATGGGGTGCATTAGGGAAGTTAACGGGTTACAACTCAAGTTGGCAGCAAGATTACACTTTCCCAGTCAGAACAACTTCTAACAGGTGCTCACAGGCCCTTCAACCTTCAGACTTTCTGCTTTGGGCCAGTGTTACAAAGCTGTCCTGTTATTGTTGTATGCCCTCGAGTCAGTTGTATGCCAACTGACCTGTAGCAGGTTTTCAAAGACAGTAAATTGCACAAGAGGAGATTGCCCATCCTTCTGCAGAGCAGCTGGTAGATCCAAACCATGTGCCTTTGGAGTTGTAGCATAGCTTCGTATCAGTAGGCCACCAGAGCTCTCTCATTTGTTGTTGTTGTATACTGTAGAGTCAGAACGGACCCATACCAATGATTTTCAGAGGCAGTTAATCACACAGGAAGAGACTGCCCATCCTTCTGCCACAGAGCAGCTGATGCCCTCAAGCTTCATGCCTTTGGGATGCAATACAGCTTCATGCCACTAGGCACCAGAGCCTGCCAATCATGGTGAATCCCCCCTCCCTAATCCTTCAACAAGCTTGAGCAAAGGCTCTGGTTCCATGGGATAGCAGTCTCAAGGTCAGTTCTGTCTCACATAAAGTCTTTGGTTCTGTGCTGTGGCTGCTGCTGCTTTTTTTGTAAGTTTTGAATGGAATAGGGTAAGACTCTTTGGCCCCAGAGGATGCATGCTGCATTATCTGCTGCTTCTTTCTTCCTAATATTGAAATTCCCGGCGAGCTCTGGTGGCCTAGTGGCAAGAAGGTGTGCTGCAATACCGGAGATGTGAGGTTCGAATCCACCAGATGCTCTGCTGAAGGAGGGACAATCTTCTCCTGTACCAATCAGATCTCATTTGACGGTACACACATTAAAAAAAAAAGTGATTAAAAAATATTGAGATTCCCCTCATTTCTGCCTCTGAATCAGCTCAATACAAAGCTAGTGGAATGGCGAAACTGCTGGATAGACTAACACATTGTATTTGTACCTGCTCAAGCAAGTGGCAAAGTCAAGGGCATTGGGCTTGGAAAGCCATTTTTAAAAGACTCTGCTATGCCAAGGTGGTATTGCCATGAGTCAGAAATTACTCTGGGCAACTGGTTTGGGGGGGGGTTGGTTGGTTTGGTTTGACCATATTCTGGTGAGCCAGTGGTGAACAAGATGGTGGTGAGCCCATTTATGGCTCTCATGGTCAAGTGGAGGAGACAACCCTGCTGATGTAGAGAGACCAGAGTGCTAATAGAGTGACCCCAAATCTTCCACAGAGAAGTCCCCTGAGGAGCAAAATGAGATGGAAGCATTAATGCCTGACCTAAAGACAAAGGTTTGGTTATATTGAGCCCAGCGATGGTTTTAGGGCAGATTAAATTCCAGGAAAAGGAGCAAAGAAAGACTGGATTGTGGGTGGGGACAGAGAAAAACATGAAGACCTAATATCTGTCCCCTAAAGTTGAGACACAGAGTCCTGATGGTGCAGTGGTTAAGCATCTGGCTGCCATACGAAAGAATGGCAGTTTGAATACCATCAGAAGAAAAACTGTCAGTCTGTGTCCCTAACATTACAAACCAAAGCAAAACTGCTGCCTTGGAGTGAATTCTGACACATGGTGACCTACTAGTTTTCTGAGACTGTGACAGAAGGAGACTGCCTCATCTTTGTCCCATGGAGTGAAACTACTGGTAGATTGAAACTGTCAACCTTCGGGTTGTTCTTGTTAGGTGTGATGGAGTCAGCTATGATTCTTAGCAACGCCATGAATGACCCTTACCTATCTTGCTCCATCTTCACAATCTCTACTATACTCAAGCCCATTGCTGCAGTCATTGTGTCGAACTATCTTGTCGAAGGTCTCCCTTTTTTCCCCCTGACCCCTCTCCCTTTCCCATCATTATCCCATCTTTTTCCAAGGACCAGGCCTTCCTGAAAAAAGTGCCCAAAGTATGTGATACAGTTTCATTCTCCTTGCCTCTAAGGTCGTAATTCCCTGAAGAACAGATGTATTCTTTTTGTGCACCTTTAGGCCAAAAGATCACAATTTAACCTCTTATACCTCCAGGGAGCCCCTGAGAACCCTAAGGCAAAGTTCTATTTTGCCCTATAGGGGTCGCTCAGAATCAACTGGATGACAATGGGTATACTCAGAGGTAGAAAGGGGTCACTCCAAAGGGCTAAATTAAGCCATTGTAATAACTGGAGCTTTAATCAGAGGGGGATTTTTTTGCGATGGAGGTGGGATGGAAGTCAGAGTTGGGGGAAGACAATAGGGATTGCGTTTTCCACTCTGGTTGCTACTGTGGGGAGATAAGACTAGAAGGGGCAAGACTGGGGGCTGGGATTACTGAATAAAGATGAGACTTCCAGAAGACAGGAGTTGTGGGGAGGAGAGGACAGCTTGAAGGAGCCCGAATGAACAGGAGTGGGGGAGAGGAGAGCAGGGTCCATGAATAATACCACAGATTACAATAAGGACAGGTTTGGGAGGAGAAGGGGGGAATGTTGTTGCCTTCATAGCTAAGTTCCTCCCTGTAATCTATTGTCCCCTAGCTTTGTTCCTGAGGACACCTTTCCAGGTTCTGGCAGAGTCACCCCTGCCACTACTTCCAACCCACTGCCCACTCAGCACAAAAATTCGTTCCAGTCCTATACCGCGTTTGCAGACAACAGTGTGACTCGCCGGACGGATTCCAACCGGAAAGAACTGGTCTGAGGAGCCTTAAACCTTCCTCCTCAAGGACAGAATGGCGAAAACAGCCCCTTCCTCCACCTCTAGACAGGGAAGCCTTGTCTCTTGTCGTGAGGGTAGCTCACTTCCAGTTTTCCAGAACACTAATCTCGGCTGCAACATAATCATTTAGCACCCCCCGACACACACAAACGCTTCACTGGATGTCTGTGTCCAGCCCTTTGCTGGGCGATGCTGAGAGTTGCTCCGGGACTTCCTCGGAAAGTCCACCGGGACAGCCTGGAGAAGGCAGAACCGGGAAGAGGAGCGAGGAAAGCAGAAGCATAGGGAACTGGAATCCCAGAGTGGAACCTAAACTCAATCTAGGTTATCAGGGAGGACTCCGAGAAGGAAGCTTTCAGATGAGTAAAGAGAATCAGTCTAAAATCGAAGGTACATTTTCAGAAAAGAGGAAGGAACCTGAACCTGGTGGCGATGGTTTAAGAGCTGGTTACTGGTCGATTCAAAGATCTATGTTCCCAACCCCGTAGCCGCCGTGCGGAAGAAAGATGGGACACCTAAAAAGGACAGCCTGAGAAACCTATAGGGCAGTTCTACTCTGTTCGTTCTGTCAGATCCCTAAGAGTTGGATTCCACAGACTGATAGCAATTGGGGCTTCAAAACGAGGAAGTCGGTTTCAAGATCCCGGGGCCATTTCTTCTGATTTTCGAATACTAGCTGTGTGCCTGGCAGTGCTGTCAGGCTCTGGGGATAAGAAAACCAAAAACTCCGGTGTTCGTGATGGCGGAGGCCTCTTCAGAAAAACTGAATCAGTGTGGCAGGATTTTAGCATAGGAGGAGTTCCTTAGGCCAGACTGCGAGGGGTTTTGTGGCAAAAGTAGAGTTTGGACTTAATCATTGGGCAGGGGGGAACCATGAAAGAATTTTCTGCAGCGAAGGCACCATTCTGAAAGAAAAGCGAGAAGGGGGCTCCAGAAGGGAGAATCAGAGGGCGTGCCAAGAAGTATGGACGATTAAGGGGGAGTAAAACCCTGTAAAACCAGGGAGGCGGGAGCTAAAGCAATGAGAGGGCAGGGCTACGGTTTCCATGGCAACAAGGGCCGCGTCAGCCTATTGGTTAATTCCTACTACGTCATTTGCCTCGCTTCACGTCGTCTACCCTCGGAACTCCGGGGGCGAAGCCTCCGAGATTTCATCTGCCCGCCTTCTGGAAAGTGGGGTGAAGGCTTTGTAAGCCCCTTTCCCTCTACTTGGGAGTCTAGTAAAGGGATCTCCGAGTAGTTCTGACGTTCCTGGAGCGTAAAGAGCAAATGAAATCTAGAAAGTCTTTTAAAACGACTCTCACCCTCCACCCTGGAGGTGTAGCCCCGCCCTCTGGCGAGTCAAAATCCTTGGCGTTAACTCCGCGCAGCCAATCGGTGCCCCGCTGCGGCCACAATTCCAGCCAATCGCAGATCGCGAATCGGCTCCGGGGCGGAGCTAGGTGGGCTCGAGGCCAGATGACGAGTCCCCCCTGTAGGTGAGCTAGCTAGGCTCCAGCCCATCAGTTGTCAGGCCCAACGTTGCACACTTCCAACCAACAGACAGTCTCTTTACAGTAAGGCAGCTGAGGTGAGTTTGACTTCCTTACTCTTGGGTCCGAGGAGGTGGAAGGGGCGACCCTGGAATTGTGGAAGCAGTGTCTGGGTGGGGGTGTGAAGGATTCAATAAAATAAGCTGGCATAGTTTGAGAGATCTGAAGGCAAGGGGACTGAGTTCGAGATCCAAGACAGGAGGCGGGATTTTTACGTTGACGTGAATTTGAACTTGGGTCGCGGGGTCTTTGGAGAAGCGAGAAATTGAAGAGAAGGAACTTTGGGTACATGACATCTAGAGATTAGAGCAGTTTCAATCTTCTGGTCGATTTGAGTTCGGGAAAAACTGCAACATGAATGGCATTAGGAAATGTAAGAGATTGGGATTCTGCGCATTGGGAGAAGCGAAAGAACGAAGGAAAAGAAATCTTGTTTTCCCAGACGCACTGGCTGGGAAGAGAGTGCTGCGAAAGAGTGATGTTCGTTTCTCGGAGCTGGGAGTTTGGAGGTGAAGTCCAGGGGATCTGAACATTGGGGCAAAAGTTGGGGGGAAGGTCTCCAAATTAGAACCCTAGTCTCCCGAAAGGCGCAGATTGGAAAACATTCCTAGTTTTTGAGATGTGTTTTGGATCCTCGAGTCTCTGAGTCTGTGGGGAGTTTAGGGAACGATCTGGATCTTTAGGGTCGGAGAGACCCGGAGAAAGTAGTTTCAGTGCTGTAGTCGGGTGGGGGAGGGGTGTTCCGGGAGGGGAGCTCAGACCCACCCGCCCAGAGGCAAGGAAGGACGGGGCTCGGCTGGCGCTTGGCAGCTGGACGTCCGGATTCCCTTCCCCCCACCGACTTCTGACCCTAATGCGCATGCCTTGGGCGAGGGTGGAGCTTCTTCCCTCTGGCGAGCTGAGCCCTCTGGGGATTATAGTATACGCTACGTAGGTCCTTGTGCCTATCGGCTATAGGCCTACATTGCCCAGAAGTCTCTGGGCTAAACTGGGCGTGTCTGCATGATTTCTTCTTTTGGGTGGGGGAGGGCGGGGATTGGCGTGAGTTGAGTTCTAGCAAGTTTTCCTGTGGGGCACGCTTTAGGGAAAGAAGGCGAGGAGGAGGGGTTGAGAGGCCTGTTCCCTGTTCTTGGGCAGGTTCCCAGAGAGTTAAGGAGAAGGGCATGGATGGAAATACCATCCCGATGCAAAAATACAAATAGCTGTTTCAGAAAGTCTAGTATGCTAAACTTTGTTCATTTGATTAGCAATGTTCTTTTTGTACCTGCAACATGTAGATTCTGATATACAAAATTGAAATCATATACTGGTAATTCAAAGTTGAGAACTAAATATTACATTCTTATTACCCTGTACAGAATAAATTCTACCTTTAAAAATAGTTTTTATAATATTAAAATTTATATTTGTTCATATGGTTTTGTGATCAAGTTATTAAAATGTATTAAAGTTTAGCTGAAATTCTGTAGCATGCAAATCAAATAAATTTAGAATTTATCTTTTTTTTTGCTATTGCTGTATCTATATTGTATTAAATATCAAAAGCTCAGGACTGAACTAAATATTTAATCAGGTTAAATTCTGGACATGTTTCTGTTTTAATTTGTCTTATTTGTAAAAGTATGCAAATACATCATATAGATTAAAAAAAAAGTCTAGTATGCACTCAATGTACAAAACTAATGAATGGATAAAGGCCATTAGCTCTGATCATTAAAGCACTTCTGTGTGTTTATGCCCAGTGCACAGTACTTGTATGATCTCTTTGTAAATGTGATTAGAAATATTTTTACAATCCTCATTTTACAGAAGAAACTGAGACCCAAACATCATGGTCACTACTTTCACAAAGGCAGAATTCAAACACAGGATTCTCATATTCTACATCTGTCTTGTGTGTGATGTTTGAAGACATGGCTATGACGGAAAGAACCATTTTAAGCCTCAAACTTGAGTTGGGATCCTCAGTTTGCACATGGAGAGAGAAGTCTCAGGGAGGTAAATCCACTTTTTGTGAGACCATATAGGCAAGTAAGTGGGATTCAGTTTCAACTGGGGGATTCATACTACCACCATTTTAGAGAGAGGAAATTAAGGTTAAATAATTGAATCATCAGCAGTCATAGAAGTGAGAAAGTGGAATTGGAACCATCCCCACTGTCTAACTTGCCCTTCTTTTCTCTCCACAGGCCATCAAGATGATGGGAGGCGTGAAAAGGAAACGCAGGGATTTGGAGGATGGGCAAGAGAAGTGCTGCTGGGACCCTGAAGGCCTGCAGAGCTATCAGCAAGCCCTTCTCCAGATCTCCCTAGATAAAGTCCAGCACAGCCTGGGCCTGCATGCACCCAGCCTTCGGCGTCAAGTCCTCATTCACAACACCCTGCAGCAGCTCCGGGCCTCTATTCGCCTAGCTCCTGCCCCTGCCCTGCCCCCAGAGCCCCTCTTCCTGGGCGAGGAGGACTTCTCCCTCTCAGCTACTATTGGCTCTATCCTCAGGAAACTGGAGACTTCCATGGATGAGGTCGAGCACCCTCCAAGTCCAGTGGTTCCCCCACATTCCCAGGCTGAAGCACTGTTCCAGCCTGAAACAGTCTTCCTAGAATCTCTGCATTCCCAGTACCTGGATGGCTGTGGCGTGGATGACTTCTTTCTCGACATTGACACATCAGCCGTAGAGAAAGAGCCAGTGCTGGACACCCCAGAGCCCCCTCACAACCTCTTCTGCACCCCAGGGTCTTGGGAATGGAATGAACTAGATCATATCATGGAGATTATTCTCAGAACCTAAAACCTTGTGAGGTTGGTGGCTCTTTCTCATCTTGACCGTCAGTTGGCTGGACCCTGGATGCGATTCTGTCAAGCTCTAGGCAGTGACTGGGCCCCTCCATTTCAGGGTTCCACAGACCATTTTGCATGTGTGTGTGTGTCTGGTTACCCAACCTTCTGTGAAGGTAGGGCTTCCTGGATTAATTTATCTGTTCTGTATGCCTTAATGAGACTGTTTCAGGGAGTCGCGATTTTCATCATCCCAGTTTTTCCCCTACCTTGACTTCGCCCTGTGACCTTGGGGCCTCAGGGAAGATGAAGCTAGACCAGTCACAGGATGCACCTTTTTGTGTGCTGCCTCCTACACCTCCAGGGAGTGAGAGGGGCTGGTCTCCTCAGTCCCACCAGCCTCCTGATCCATGAAACCAGGCTGGACTATGTGCAATAGAGTGGAAATCAAACTGCTTCATGGCATGTTATTTAAAAGATAAGGCAGGTTTTGTGGTGGCTCTGCTTTGGTTTTTTTTTACCATTTGTAATTTTTTTTTTTTTTATCAAATAAAAAACAAACCATTTTAGAAGTGGTGTTGCTTATAGTTTATAAACCTCACTGGGCTAATGGGAGGAACTTGGTAATTCATCCCATGATTAGAAATTCTTAGAAGTTGGTGCTGCTGATCACACTTGACTTGGGGGAACCTGAAGTCAAGAGAAGCTGAAAGAAACACTAATGTGGAAAATACACAGTCTTCCAGGTGGTGATCACAACTGTTAGAAAAATTAAGCAAGCAGTGAGGAAGGAGTTGGTTTTAGACGGGATGGCTTAGGAAGACCCAAAGGGTGGCTATCAGGAGAATGAATAATCTAGTTGAAGAGAGCAGTCAGTGCAAAGGCCCTGAGGTTAGTGTTTGAATGGGACAATGAGGAGGCCAGTTTGGCAGGAACAGCATAAGAAAAAGGTAAAGTTCAGGAGTTCTGGTGACACTGATAGAACAAGTTGGGTAGGGGCTTGGAGGTGCCTTACAGAGAGGAGTTTCACTTAGATCTCAGTGAGGTCTGATGGCCTAAAGGTAAGGAACTGTGCTGCCACCACTGCCCACCAGGCTGAAGGAGAAAGATGGTCAGTCTCCTTCCCTGATTTACTTCCTTTGAAAACTTAACACCTGAGTGAATTTAAGAGTCAAGGTGTGGAGCAGAAGAAGTCAGTGAGCCTACCTAGCTTTCTTTTGGCTGTCCTGAGGACAATAGAATGATAAGAGAATCCTGTAGCTTGCTCTCACCAAAGTGAGGCCATTATGGTTAGCAACTCCACTTTCCAGCTGAATAAACTGAGACCCATCAAATGGACTTCCATTCGAAGACCTTGTAGGACAGAGCTCTGCCCCTAGGCCTAGAATTTCCAAGGCCACGCTCCACAAGCAAATTGTATCTTTCTCAGGCAGAAGGACATCTAGTGCTTTGGAACTGCCTGCCTTTCTGTTGCAGGCTATCGCTTAACCACTGCGCTACCTGGGCTCCTTCAGAGAGGCCCAGCACCTGTTAATAGAATTGCTCAGGGAAGTTGAAAGGCTGGCTCTGTGCAGGGAGCCTGTGTCCCTCAGGGCAGAGTCCAAGTTCCCCAAGCAGTTCTACCCCTCGGTCCTGCGGTGGCGGTGAGGAGGCGGGGCTAAAGTGGCCCTGTCCCTCCCACCTGCCCATCCGCCACCCGGAGCCTGCCCGGCGCCTCTGCCCTCCCCAGAGGCCGGGCGGGGCGCTCATGTTGCCCGCCCAGTTGGCGGAGCTCCACCCCGGGCCTCTGCGATGGCTTGCTAGCTTCGCTTCTCCTTTCATTTCTTTCAACCAAGTCTGCTCTTCACCAGTCCCCAGGCACCTTGAATTCCTGGCTCCTCTCTCTGGTCTCATCTCCAATGTCACTACCTCAGGGTGGCCCTCTAGCACCAAACTGGCCACAGACACCTCTCCCCAGGCCTATTATCCCTTTTTGTTGTCATATGCCATCTAGTTGTCCCCGACCCTATGTATAATAGCTCTGAATCCTGCCCTATAATAAGCCAGTTTCAGTGACTCTGACACATCCAATCCCATTGCCCCAGTTACTATCATATCGGAGGCTTCCTCTCCTGCATTGTCCCTCCACTTTTCCAAGCATGATGTCCTTCTCCAAGGACTGGTCCCTCCTGGCCATGTACCCAAAGTATATGAGGTGGAGCTTCAGAATCCTTGCCTCCAAGGAGAAATTTGTTTTCCTCCTCTCCAAGACAGACCTACTTGTTCTCCTGGAGAACCATGGTATGTTTAATACTTTTCTCCAGTACCACAACTTCAAAGGCATCAATTCTTCTGTCATCCTTAGTCATTGTCCAGCTCTCTGATGCATACCAAGTCATTGTGAAGACCATGGCCTGAATCAGGCACACCTTAGTCTCCAGACTGACATCATTGCACTTTGTCCCTTGGTATTTTATTTTCTCCCAGCCACTAAGCAGAAGCAGAAATTATTTTCCCTATTGGGTAATCTTCTTGGGCCTTCTTCTCCCCTCAGATAAAAATCAAAGGATTTTATTCTTGATTCTATTTAGGTATTATTAATTGGTTCTGACTCAGCTCTGTATACGAAAAAGTGAAACCCTGCTCAGTTCTGTGCTATCCTCTCAATATCCACTCTGCTTAAATCCCATTGTTGCAGCCACTGTGTCAATCCATCCCCTTCTTATCCCTCATTTTCAGCTTTACCAAACAAGATGCCATTCCCAATAGTACCCAAATCAAACATTGGGTCAGCTGGTCCATTTAGTGGCTAATCCCCATCAGGTTTCTGAAGCTCTCTATGGGATGAATCTCTGATGTCAGAGTCCCCCCCCAATAGTCAAACCTCTCTGGAAATTTTAATCCACCAGAAGTTAATCAGGAGAATGATGAGCAATAACTTCGCATAAGATTTATAGCCTTGGAAACCCAAAGGAGCTATAAGTCCATTTCAACTCCACAGCCTTGGAAATGCATCAGCTATGGGTCAATTTCAACTCCACTGCAACCAAAGAGATAGAGATCTTTATGGGAGGAGACCGTTACATCTTTCTCCTGTGGAGCAGCTCGTGGATTCTAACCACTGACTTTTTGGTTAGCAGCAACAAGTGTTAGAAGGCACCAAGATTCCTTGAAAGGTCCTTCGGGGTCTGGTCATTTCTCCAGTCTACATCGCAGTTCATAGCACAGTTACAGTGAGTGGTCTTATTGCCCTGCAAACAGCAAGCAGTAGCCACCTCCGGACCTTTGCACTACTCTCCCATCTGCTCGAGCAAGTCTGTTTCAGAGCTCTGCCACTTCTTTAGGTCTCTAAAGAGACCTTAATAGATCTCTGCTCAAACATCACCTCTTCAGAGAATTCCATCATCCTGACACCATCTCTGCCCATCTAAACTTGCACATATTTCATCTCTCGCTGCCTCCTCTGCTTTCTTCCTTTCCTCTGCTCATATCACCTTTTAAAGTATGTGATTTCCCTAATACTTCTTTGTACCAAAGAGTTAAGTCTGTACCTTCAGTATCTAACACAAAATTGCCACCAAATCTATTCTGATTCATAGTGACCCTGTCAGACAGAGTAGAATTTCCAAGGTTATGGTCACTAAGGAAGCAGATTGCCAATAAGGAATTCTATTGGTTTAGTCCATAGGGTGTTGTGTTGCTAACCAAAAGGAAGCAAACTGCCTCAATTATCTTCTACAGAGCTGCTAGGGGAAGCTCTGGTGGCCTGTGGTAAGAAACTGCTCTGCAATCCCAAAGGCACCATCAGCTACTCCATGGGAACAGAATGGGAAATCTTCTTGCTTGCAATTTACTCCCTCTGAAAACCCTCTGGAGGGTTGCCTATGACTTGACTCTGACTCAACAGCATACCACAACAACACAGAGGAGCTATTGGGTTAGAACTGCTAACCTTTGGGTTAGCAGTAAGGTGCTTAGCTATTGCACCACTTGAGCTCTCTGACACACCGTGCACAGATATTTGTGATTAAATTAATGAATGTTATTATAATAATTTTCTTCATTTACCCCATCTCCATTCAAATAGAGAGACTATGAAAAACTCATTATTATACCCCTGTTGTCTATGATAATGCCAGCACATAGTAAATGCACACACACTCCAAACAAACCAAAAAGCATCTTCAACATTGTGGCTGTTAGAGCCCATCTAGTTGACTATGTCTGTGGAGTTTACCTTTCAATATGATTTTCCTAGCTATTGAATTTGGCTTTGCCATGGGGGTGAGAGGGGATATGCAAATAGGGCATGTAAGCCTAGCCACAAGGGGATTGGCTACTCTCACCAATCCACAAGGAGATGGGCTAGTTTTGCCATTAAGTTGAATGGATCTAGCAGCAGACACTTTACTGCCAAGGAAAGAGCAAACAAGAGGATTCTAGCAGCCAAAGAAGAGAACCAGAGACCTGACATGAAATGAGATCTTGAAACTGACCTTGAAACATCAGAACTGGAGCTAAGAGCCTTTGCTCACATTTGTTGAACAACTGAGGGCAGGGTGAGCTAGTATTGGCAGGACTGAGAACTTTGCAAAATGGGCCTAAAGTCATGAGGCTCAAGACTGAGGAGCCACGAGCTCTGGTGGCCTAGTGGCAGGAAACTGCACTGCAATCCCAAAGGCAGGCAGTTGGAGGCCACCAACAGCTGCTCGGCAGGAGAAGGATGGGCAATCTCCTCCCCTGCAATTAACTCCCTCTGAAAACCCACCGGAGGGTCTGCTATGGGTCGGTTCTGATTTGATGGTAAACAACATATATAAAATATTTCATTTTAACAAAAATTAATATGCTGTTTTTAAAAAGATCTGGTGGTCTAAGGGCCCTCTGATGCCTAGTGGCAAGAAGCTGCACTGCAATCCCAGAGGTGCATGGTTCGAATCCACCAGATGCTCTGCTGGAGAAGGAGGGACAATCTCTCCCTGTACTAGTCAGATCCGATTTGACGGTATACGCACACAAAAAATATTTAAAAAA